CATGCCTTAAAGCAGGCGGTAATTTGCGCTGCTCTTGGTAGATTGCGCTGGTCATTATGGAAATGATCTGGCTGCATAAATCAGTAAATCACCCGCAGAATTTTCCCCTCCCATCAGCGCTTTTATGTTTAGTAAATCTGGCCCTAAAATAACACTGTGCCTATGATGCCTAAACATGTTGACTAGGTCGTAGGTTTTATGACATAGCCATTGTTTTTACTGCAGTATAATTGTTAATATGTATGTGTGTGGGATGAGCAGGTTGGAAGGTACGGAGGAGAAGTTCAGGAATAGAGAAAGCCGACAGGAGGACCTTCAGGTGATTGCTGAGCTCAGAGAAATAGTGTCAGAGAGAGAAGCCCTGGTCAAGAAACTTGTGGTAAGTATGCATAGCAATGGTCCGTAGAGGTGCAGCATCCCATTAAAAGTGATGTGTGTACTACTGTTCTTCTACATAGTTTATTTTTTTGTCCCAAAGCATTACATGTCTTCAGACAAAAGTCAATATCAGTTCATTGATTTTTCTGCACAGGGCTGACTGTGCCTCCTTTGTTCCAGGATGACAAGAAGTTTTATCAACTGGAGCTGGTGAATCGAGAGCCTGGCTTCAACAAGGTGTTCAACACCAATCCCAATGTCGGGGTCATAAACCCCCTTATAAAGGTTAGAGAGATACAGCCACACTGATCAAACAATACCTCTGAAGTCCACATAAATTGGATTTGATATGATAGTAAAAAAAAGCACAAACCATAAACCTTTTTAAAAGCACTCCATCTCTACAGTTCTTGGAATCCATGAATATAATAAAAGAGTACCTCAAAGGTTATGCCTTATGGGAAGTGTGTTTTACAGAGGTACATCTGGAATGGGATATTCTGCAGAGACTATTAATAGCCTTCTACTGTTCTTTTAGTTGTACTTTTCTTTCTGTTGCATAAGTTGTGTTTGTGTGGTTGTCATTGTCTGTGTCTTATATCCATGTTCAAACATCAATTCTGCCCTGCTTTCCAAATCATAAGTTCTGTTCCAAAACCTAATGTGCTGCTTACATAGGACATGAAACCTCAAAAGTGACCCATATGATGCACCCTACAGTAGCATTAGCATCTTTACAGTTCCAATAGAATCTAACATTAGAATGTGGCTAACAATGCAACACCCATTTACAATAATTTATAGGATTGTACAGTTTTTATGTTCTCTCAGGCTCACTAAAACTGCATTTATTTATTTGATCAATAATACAGTGAAAACAGTCATATTTGCAACATTTTTACAGTTTCCTTTTGAATATATTTTAAAATGTAAATTTTTCATGTGGTGCTCCGGTAACATTTCTTATTATTATCAATGTTGAAAATAGTTGTGCTCTGTATTGTTTTTGTGTAAAATTTGATATATTTTTTTTTTCAGGATTCTTTGATGAACAAAAAATTCAAATGCACAGAATTTATTTGAAATAGAAAAGTCTTTACTATCACTTTTGATCAATTTAATGCATCCTTTGCTAAATAAAAGTAATAATTTCTTAATACTTTTGTATATATACGTTTTTCTCACCTATAATATACATTTCTCTCACCTTTATTTTTTTTTTTACTTTCGGCACATACGTAAGCCGTTTGTTTGTTTTCTGAGGATCAAACCCATGATCTTGGTGTTTCTACTCTCACCAGATAAGCTGGTTTTGATGAAGTGCATTCTGGGATTTCCTTCGTTATAATGGATACATGCTGATGAAACTTTTTATATTTAATTTAATAGCAAAATTAGTACTGTGCCTATGACGGTCAGCTCAGGAGGTTTTGTAACAAAGCTATAATCTGTCATTTCTGTCCCCTATCCGCATTCAAAATGATATTCATTACCTTGTCATCGTTTAGCTTCAAGCTACAGTTCGCCATCACCTCCGACTTCCCACAATCCCTTTCTGTGTGTGTCCTTTTAATGTAGCATAAGAGTAGAAAACCTGCGAACAGTTTCGCCAGCTCTCCGAACCTAAGCGTTGTTGCGGTGGAAGGGATGGCGGGCGGCTTGGTTCCGCCTGCTTGCCTAGAGTCTGTCCCCAACTCCCCCATTCACCATCATGAGCTCAGGTCTAACAATCCTCCACCCCCTCCAACCCCTCCGCCTCAGGCCGACTCCACCTGGAGGTGAGATTGTCCGAGATGTCCTTGTCCTCACAAGAGACATGCTTAAAACCACAGAACTGTCTTGCCATTGGTCGGATCACACGGTCTCGGTGCTAACAGTAGAAAAACCGTCAGTCTGTCTGTTTATTGGACGTTTTGATACGAGAACACGGTTATGTGTGTCCCAGTGAATTGTGGGTATGCTCATCACACTCCTTAATGCATCTTGCCGGCAAATGGCACACATTAAAAGTTTTTGTACTTCATGCTACTTTGATGTGCATGATAAATTGTATGTACCAATGTCCTTATTGTGTCGAGTTCGACAAGAATAATCACAAATCGGACTGAAAGTTCACATAAACTGTGCTTGAGCATGCAGTTGATGTCATCACGTCATCACATAGCAGTCACGAGTATGGCTCCGCCCATTAGCCATAATCCACCCTTCACATTTCATGCATTTGTTGTTTTGTGGTTTTAAAATGAGCTATTCAAATGATGAGCAGCTATTCTTGGTATTTCTTGTCTAGTGAAAATCAAGCACAGGAACTTTGGGCTGAGAGATAATATTAGACCGTTTCTGGTAGAGGGGCATATTTAATTTATCATTTAAAAGGAAAT